ATTTAATGTGTATAATCTCATTAGTGAATTGAATTCTTGGCCTAGATAATATCCAGGTTTGATGTATGGCTCCATGAAGTTAAGAACTTAAGGACCGTGATATTAAGATATTAAACCATCAAGAACTTTTCATCAACACAATGTAACTTCACCATGTTTGGGCTTGTTTGTTGTAGTAGTTTTTTAAAGTATAGATTATGTACGAGATCTTAGACAGTGGGTTCGTTAATCCTTATGTAATAGTAGTGCAAAACTTAGGTAAAATATTTAATAATATTAGGTAATTAAAAATTATATGCCCCAAGTAATTATTTATGAACTAGTCTCTGTAATGTAATAACATTCATTGTCTACTTTTCAAAACATTTCGTGCGGCAACTTAATTGAGAACAAGTAATTCAACAAAGCCTAAACCTATTTTGTTTCTTTTAGAACAACCTTTAATGAAAGCTTTTTTTGTAAAAAATGTTTTCAAAAAAAACCTTTTATTGTCTTATTTTAAGAAAGCCTTCTTTGACTCAAAAGCAAGACAATGATTGGTTGAAGTATTTAACGTTGCGTTAAAAGTACTTATAGTTCTACAAAAGGGAAAAACATGATAAGCGCGAGACTGATTCGCGCCCCGAGGGTTCCGTAAACAAAGTTTGTAATTACAAAATATATTTTTTTACCTTATAGAACAACAGATTAAATACTTTCAGATTTGTCCTTTACTTGTAAGTACTTTGTGACCAAGGTTTTTGCCAAATTTCATGATTGTAGGCCAATAAATACCCTATAAATTTAATTTTCGGAGGTTTAAATTACCTATGTTTTGATTTCATTGAATCAGTTTCTCGTTTTTTTAATCTGCAATATCACGATACTAGAGTTTGGTTTTAACTTTTTATCCCAAAGTTTTCTTGTAAAAGAGGGTCATGAAAGACATGGAAAGGGAACCCTAAAAATTTTAAAGTAGCCATTGTGTATGGCATGTCTTAGTAAGTTTAACAAAATAATTTCTTCAGTATACCTTAAGGCATTTCTATGTCTTTAATCTTTTTAGGTCAAAATACCTCCTTAGTATTATAATATAAAATTATATAATAATATTTAAAAAACATGTAGATTGAACTCTTAGTTTTGATGTTTATAACACAATCTGTTCTCTTGACAGGCAACAATAAAGAAGACAGACAGATCTCATCCACTCAGACAGACAGCCGCTAGCCGTTTAGAAAACGAATTAATATATCTATAATTTTTGCTAAAGATTACGTCATACAAAAAAAAAACACGTAAGCAACTACAAGGGCGTTAGTTTCGCATGACAAAAAAAGAGAAAAGAGTAAACCAAAATATCTCACTAACAAATTGTGTCTACTTTTGTAAGTATTTGTTTACCTTGTCTTTGAGAAGGAACTGACTCCATACACACAGATCGCGCTAGTTTAGGAATCAGGGTTGTAAAATGTCTGTAATCCACTTATTGTTACAATAAAGATTATTGTTAGTATTATCCTTTATATCTTAGCTGTGACGATAGTCAATGCGAACCTACCACGGGCTTACGCCAAGTGGGTTGGTTCGTAAACAATTACTGTGGGTGTTTGTGTAGAGCAAGTGAGGATTCGTCGAACTATGGAACATATATTATTATTATTATTATGATTATAAATATTATAAAAGAGCCATGCTTGGGCAGATATGGGCCTATTTGACTGCGATGATACCATGGCTTTACAGGAAACTGGTGTAAGGTAGCCGAATGAGTGAAGTGAAGATCGGAATCAACGCCTTATCATCTATATACGGTGTCACTACATTATTTTACCTCCTTGAAGTGCGTCATGTAATTCTCTAATGAAGTGTGGAGCAAGTGTTATTGGGCTTAACTTACTCTTCGCTTTTGCTACTACAGAGTAATAATGTCATTGCAAGAATATTTTTCAAGTGCTATTGTCCTGCGTAGTTTGCTCCTTTAGTCGTCTCTTACGACACCCACAGGATGAATAGGGGTGGTAACACACGCCGTATTCTTAATCCATCACCACACGGAGAACAGCACTGCAAAGAGAAGGAAAACTTGAAACAAACCATATACCAACCCGTCTGGCCAGCGTGGTATAGTAGGCCATAACATCCTTTCTAAGGAGAGGCCTATGTCCAGCAGTGGACTGTTAAAGAATGAAGAATGAAGAAGAATGTTTTTTCTGCTTTGGCTGAAATCAAAAATAAAACAGTCGCTATCTTTTAAATATTTGTTAATAACACGCACTTCCAAAACTAAATAAAAATTAAAAATGTACACAAACATTTGACAAGTAAAGCAAAAGCTGCAAGCGAATTCAAGTGTATTTATAACAAAATAAAATGCTTGCAATTACTTTAAAACGCAACTCGGAGCGTTCGAGTTGAATGCAAATATTAAATATAAGAGGAGCTATTCACTCACTCCCCTGGGAGTGGGGTGAATTAAAATTATAACCCGAAGCTTATTTTATGTATGTAAATAAGGTTGGATCTTGTAATAGAGATTTACATGGTAAGTAATAATTTATGTTAGAAATATGGAAGTTTTAGGTAATATTTCGTTATATTGAGAACATTCTGTTACTTTAATATTCTCAAGGTATATAATTTAGGCCTTCCTACCGCTTTGGCAACTAAGTTACTCAACCAGTTATAAGAGGACTTTATAGCAGTTCTTGGTAACTAGTAATCTTTATTTCTTTTTTTAAAGACAACTTTATATCCTGTTTAAGAATATATCCTGTGTCGCGGGGGACTTTAGAAACATACACATGGGATGACACTTTGTGTGATCCACAAACTGTAGTTCTCAGTCTGGGTGTTCTTTGTATGCGTTTCATGTATGTTTGTTAAGTCCCACACAGGATATATTCCTAGTGCGGGAGATGTCTTTTTAAAAGAAAAAAAAGTGGGTCGAAATCACGTTCGAATTTATTTACGTACATACACACATACAAACAATAGACAAACGAGAAATAACATACTTTTGTTCACTCAAGTTTGTAAAGTTTGTCGACTTACAATAGCGACCAGAGAGAATGTACTCTTAAACTTTTCTTAATATGTAAATAGACCTAGTGCTATTTTAAAATCACTTTTATAATATACTAGCTGACCCTGCAAACGTTGTTTTGCTATTTACATTATTTAATTTATTTATTTTTTAATTTCTTAAAATCCGTTCTTAGCTGACCTCTACTCGTTGAAAAGAATATTCCTACCAAATTTCAAGTCTTTAGCTCTAATGGTTCCAGAGATATCGTGATGAGTGACTATATACGTGGAAATCTCTTATATAAATATAGATAGATAAACAAAAAATAAGCGTAAATGTCCCATAACGCACACAAAATTCATTAGTTTTAGTTAAGTCGGTTAATAAAAACACGTCTCACGCTAAATCGGTCTGTCAGACTGTTTTCTCTATTTAGCCGCTAACGAACCCCTGCTATTAAAAAAAATAATTGTTTCCGTTTATTACGCCCTTTCCTGCTCGATTCCCTGTTAACTTTCAATATATTTCCAACACGCGATCTTTTTATTTCCTTTTCAAAATATTTACCAAGGGGTGTGATGGGTTTATCCACATTTATATATTTCCAACGGCTATAAAAGCTGATTAGCAATTATGAAGACTCCATTTTGTTTTACTTTTTAATAGGGAGAATCAAGTTTGAATGCGTTATTTAATGATTTTTACTCTTGAGGAAACAGTGGATGCATTGATTACGTCACGTTTATTATTTAAGTAGCCATTGTAATGATCGAAACCCGTGTAACAGCGGAGTGATTCTGTCTAGGTCAGAGACACTAAAAAGTCGCCTAACCCCCCCCCCCCCCAGCCCCCTATATGTATATTTTTCTTCCTATGTTCTCGAAATAAATTATAAACCTAAACTATAGAAAGACTGTGAAAGGCACTCATCATCTGCCTACCCTTATCCCATTCTAATTTTATTTGGGATCAGCGCGGTAAGTATGATTCTTCCAGTCTACTTATCATTCATCATCTCACTGTTTACGCTCTGCCTAGCCATATCCTCACTCACACAGTCCATCCACCTTTTCTTTGGCCTTCTTCTTCGCACTTGTACCCTTACACTTTCCTGGCCACATTTTCTCATCCCTCCGTATGACATGTCCATTCCAAGATTATTACTTCTTAACTTTTCATCATGTGGCGCTAAAAACACTGACTGTGAAAACTTTTAATGATGACATGTGGTATTAAAACTTCTTTCTGTACGTTTTTTTTTTGTTTTCCTTTAGCCTTCTATTGGCCCTTGTTTGGTGAGCGAGTCTGGTTACCGCTCACTCACTCACCTAAAAGAAAAAGAAAAGAAAGTATTGCTAAAAGCCGGTTTGCTGTGAGGCTGAGGTATCACTCCGGTGGAGCCGGCCCATTTGTGCTGAATAGTATGGCTCTGTCGGGTAAACTGTTAGATTAAAAGAATTAACAGATAATAGTCCGACAGACAAGGTCCGTGTGGAGACGGATTAAGAATATAGTCTCACCACCCCTATTCATCCCGTGGGTGTCGTAAGAGGCGACTAAGGGAAAAACTGCTCAGAACAACAGCACTGCAGAGAGAAGGAAAACTTGACACAAACCCTATACCAACCCGTCTGGCCAGCGTGGTATAGTAGGCCAGAACCTACTTTCTAAGGAGAGGCTTATGTCCAGCAGTGGACTATTAAAGGCTGTTGATGTGATGAACAGACAATATACTTGTGAAGACGTCTTATAAAAATGTAAGACACCCATTATTTCTATTTCAAGCGGACTAGCGGATATTTCGTGTTCAACATTTGGATCTTAAAGAAAATAGCCCGACCTGTTGCAACGGAACTATCTATGTTTTAATTAAAAATACTGTCCAAGGAAATAATTTTAAAATACGCAGTCAAGGAATATATCTATATTTAAATGTAAAAACAACTAAATACACTAAACATCACAGGAGTATCATATGATTATTATACAAGGCTCAAACGGCCTCTAGGAAGCCCAACTTTTTATAGAAGATCAGCTCCCAGCGCTTGAGCTTGGCAATTGGAGCATCAGTGTCTATTTTTTTACTTCGTTTATATTTTCTGAAGAATTCTCCATCCACCTGAGAAATAAGAGGTTTTGTTTAAATAATACAATACTACTCGACACACTACGAGTAAGGCTAGCTCAGTTGAGATGCTAGGCTTAATGGCTTTTTACAGCATGAACTATGTAGCGTTTATTAAACAAAAACAAACAGAAAAGTACAAAATAGGAAGTTTTCTGTATGTTTCATTTTATAAGAGCTCTGAGGAAGAATTATTTCTGTCCTATACCCGTTTGTGTTCGTGGACAAACTCATCGGCAAATTTAGCCGTTGGAATGTGGTCCTTTTAATTCGCGACCTAGGATCAGTAATTTATTGATGATGATTGATGAAGTATTTCTTTTTTGTTAAAGACAACTCCTGCTGTAGGAATACGAGTTTACCTTGTGTCGCGGAGGACTTTACAAACATACATGAAACGAACACAACGAACACCCAGACTCAGAACAACAGTTTGTGGATCACAAAAAGTGTCGTCCCATATGGGGTTTGAACCCACAACACTCGGCGTAGTAGGAAGCGGCGTGGCAACCACTTAAACCACTACGCCATCCGTGCAGTCAGAAGTATGTTTTGCTTTATGTAGAAGTTGCAACATGTCAGTTATTTTTTCTTTGTTTTATAATTTATTTATTGTCCGTTTAGTGACGGACTAAGAATACGGAATGTCACTACCCCAATTCATCCCGAAGAGCCGACTAAGGGTACAAAGCAACGCAGGACAACAGCACTGCAAAGAGAAGGAAAACTTGAAACAAACCCTATACCAACCCGTCTGGCCAGCGTGGTATAGTAGGCCAAAACCTCCTTTCTAAGGAGAGGCCTATGTCCAGCAGTGGACTAGTATAGGCTGTTGATGATGATGATTAATGACATATCATCTCTCATCTCATTTCAGGTACTTAGGGCGATAATAACTTTTCATTTTTACAAGTTTTCTTACCTTGATCCTTTGGTCACAGTTGTCTCGACTCCCCGGCACTTCTTCAGTCTGTTCATCAGAAACATTGTTATGACTTCTCTGCCTCGGGTAGAAAAGCCAACGTTTCGATCCAAGACCATCATGCTTGAGAAACTCCTGGACTCGATCCTGGCGCTTCTTCGTCGCTAAGAACTTCGATGGATTTTTCCTGCTTCTGCTGGCTGCAAGATAAAAATTATGATATACTACTGTCATACTACGCAAACTCACACACGCACTATACACTGAGATACTCGCACTGTCATATATATATACACACACACAACACACAATCACCTACACATGCAGCATAAAACATGCACATATTTACACTTACATTCATATATATATATCTTCTTACACACACCCATACACCGATATCTTTAGTCCTATTACAGGTTAGAGAATACACATTCATTCATTTGTTTCATCTCACATGTATAATCACTTCTGTAATACAGGTTTTTACCTAGAACGGATACCAGTCTCTCACACAGATTAGCATTTTCTTGGTGTAAAGTAATCTATAACTTTGTTACTAGTTTATTGATATGATTAAATTTTTTGTGTGAGAGAAGAAATAAAATATTATTATTAGTATTATTATACTCGAATTAGCTGTTGACAACAACAAACATTAACACAACGCCATCGAGTCCCAAACTAAGCGGAGTTTGTACTATGGGTACTAGACAACTGATACATATATACTTTTTTGTAAATACATAGTCATATATATTATACATAGAAACATCCAGACCAATAAGAGTCATTAAATGTTCATGCTTGAGCGGGATTCGAACCCGCGACCCTTGGCGTAGCAGTACATTACGCAAACCACTACGTTATCCGGCCCTCAAATAATAATAATATTGTGGTTAATGGTTTGATTTCTGTTATTGAAATAAAACTTACGTGTAAGATATAACACTCTGAAGGCGTCTAAAAAACTTGGATCTCTCATGTTAAACCCTTTTTGGCGGGTCCCCGATCGAGTGCGACTGCGGGTGTGAGTTCTTGCATGGGATAGCGACCGCGAACGCGATCGCGACCGTGACTTCGACCGCGACCGCGAACGCGACCGCGAGCGCGATCGGGATCGCGATTTTGTTACGCTGCCACTCCTTGAGCGAGCTCTTTTACCTTCTTTGGTCCTACGCAGGCGTTGCTTTGACCTGCTACTTCTAAAACAAATATTGGGCAACAGAATGAGTCACTAGCCAACTCCATTTTCTTTAACATTTTAGAAGATACATATGTATTTAAAGTTATATTAATAGTAGATTAGTAGCCAAGAGCTGTAAGGCATCAATTGCAGCCTGAGATATTTAGCCTCGCTGCGCTCGTGCGCCTGTAGTTCGAGGGTGCAATTGATGCTTACACCCGAGCTAACTATTCTGCTTTACATCTCGATTGTGAGGTAAGTGGAAAAAAAACGGCATTACAAGAATAAAACATTTTATTTGTTGACATTTAGGTATAGTGAAATGAGAACAATTTTAAAATTTTAAGGACAGGTGTTTTTTGGGATCTTCATCACTTGAAGAACTCATGTTTTTTCTTAATTAGCACGCAATTATAAAATAATCGCAAAAACAATCAATTCTTAAAGTAAAAGTTTTCTATTCCCGCCTTTTTTCATTAAAATGAATCAAGTAATGAACTTTTTAAGTTTTTTTTAAGATCGAAATTGAGCTTCGCCGATTGATATAAATTCAATGATTTTAAACAAAAAAATATTTGAAAGGCTTATAAGACTAAGAATCTAATATTCTTACCTTAATATTTACTGCATTGCAGCATACATGACTATAATTCAGACACCGCTGTCCCGGTACAATTAAAATGCATCTTCAACACTAACTTTCCTAACATTTTAGTTAATTTTTTAGTTACAAGCTTTCTGTTAGGCTGTGGTATTACTCCGGTCAAGCCGGCCCATGCCATATGTCAGTATAAGTTAAGGCCTTTGGCCACCTACATAGATTTCCTTATATCAATTCCAGACCTACCGCGTTCCTACATTTTGAAGTATCCATTTTCAAGTCGATAAAATACAGTTTCCTGGGGACTCACTGAATCACTTACCTTCCTCGTTCCTCGTTCAGAGGCCCAAGTCCATAATATTCACCAAAGCCATCTCCATGATCAGGATACTCTCCGTCTGGGCCTCGCATCTGCGGGTGGGTTGTTGAGTAAGGGTAACCATAGCCTTCCATCAACCATCAACTATTTAAAATATATCCCTGTACTACAAAAATACCAATAAATTTAGAAAAAATCTCGCCTGATTGCTGTCACTGTCAAATTTTGTCTTTTTTGTATGAAGCTTGACTTATAGTAAGAAGATTGTAACTGAAATTATCGAAGAAGAAAATTTACTTGATAAATCAGTACAAAACCAGCTCAAGAATAAGTGTAAAAGAAAAAATATTTGAACCCTAAGTCCTAAGTTCTTTGTATCTGTAACTTTCCTTGGGGTCGACCGAAAAGCACCCTATCAACGGTCTATCAGAACTTTATAAATGAAATTTAATCTTCTTAAGGTTACAAAATAACGCAATAAATTAAACGAAACCTTAAAAGTGAGTGATAATTTTTAAAGGATATTATTACTTTTAAACAGAAAGTAGAGTCCAATCTTAAAAAAAGTGATTTAGTCACTTTTATGAAACCCGATATTTTTGTTTTAAAATTTATTTCATTCAATTTATATTCATGAGCTACAAGTTTTCTTTAGTAGACATACGAACACCAGAAACATCGTTTACATTTTAACATTTATTTTTGTTCAAAAAAAGTCCTGTTATACGTTTTTCTTTGAGAGTGCGATGTTAACAAAATTTTACGTTATTTCAAAACCCTTTTGACTTAAAAAAAACTTCAAAAAGTCATTAAGCCATGAATGCGATATCTACTTTAAAAATTTAGGGCGTTATTATCGATAAGACTTACGACATTTTCTAAAGTTCGATTCGATTGTAATCGAATAAAAAAGTTTTCGAGTAACTTATCGATTTGGAAAGAAAGAACAATTAAAGAAGTAAGATAAATTAGGAATCGATGAATGCTTAATGGCTCCCTCCATTAGAAGGTTTTGAGTTTGCGGAACAGTTTTTTAAGAGGAAAAATTTTACTTCCCCACTTTGAAGTTAGAGGGCAGCATGGATATAGAGAGGAATGTTGCGGGTAGTGGGTAACGACCTCGGCTACCTCGCGATGGTACAGAATGATTTATGTGTTTGGAAAAGCATGGTTTCCTTAATGGCTACAAAGCTGTTCGAACAAATGAAATAGCTGCGCGCGGTCCATCCAACCGCACCTACTAGTTTAAACCTTCTGTGCTCCAATGTCTTCTAATTAACAATATAACTAATAAATAATTTAGTTGAATATTTGAATCTATGCTGACTGTTAATATATCGAAGTTAAGCTTTGGGACAAATTTGGGACAAAAAATATCTAAAAATCTTATCGGCTCTATTCTATTTACTAAAGAGTACTCAAGGCAAAGTGTGAAATCGTAGTCGCTCTTGAAGAACAATATGTACGCTAGTGCGATGGACTAGACTCTGGCATTATATAAAATATAATATTAGAAAAAAAACTCTATATGTAAAAATGTTAAGTTAGTGCAACTAAAAAAGTTCTGCACCTTTGTACAACACGCTTCAAAGATGGTTTTTATATATTTCGTATCACTGTCGTACCTTATCAATGCAACCATAATATTCCACAGCGAAGCGTGGCAGAGTTCAGCTAGTATAATATAATGATACTTTAAGAGTATCATCGCTAACTAAATGTACTTGATTAAAGTTTTCAAATAATTTGTTAAAATTATCTTAATACGTCCACATGCATACAAATTTTTTGTAGACATACGAAAGCTGAAGAGACCAGTTAAAACTTTGTAATTTTCATAAATCTCACAAGTTTGAGTTCTGATACCTTAGAGTATCTAGTAAACAAACCTAAAACGGAAAATTCAAATACAAACGACACGAATAACCATAATCGTGTAGCAGACGAATATAAGCACATAAACAATTTGACATGTGGTGTGGTGACGAATTAAGAATGCAAAGTGTCACCACCCCTATTCATCCCGTGGGTGTCGTAAGAGCCGACTAAGGGAGAAACTGCGCAGAACAAGAGCACTGCAGAGAGAAGGAAAACTTGACACAAACCCTATACCAACCCGTCTGGCCAGCGTGGTATTACTATACCACGCTGGCCAGACGGGCCTACTGCCTACTGGCCAAAACCTCCTTTCTAAGGAGAGGCTTATGTCCAGCAGTGGACTATTAAAGGCTGTTAAAGAAACAATTACACAAATAGTTACACCATCTGAATATCAAACCTATAATTTAAACCATTGCTCCCGTGCGTCAATGTAACATGACTGACACTTCTAAATTCCCTAGCTCCTTGTCTAGAGCAGTGAAGGCAGTACAGTGTTCTTTAACTTTGCTGTGAGCTGCAGCAGTCTATTCTTCACTTACTTTTTAATATTCCGCAAGTTTCCAGCTCATTTAGATTTTATACCAAGTGTACTTTGTTATAACAGCCCGAGTCGGCCGTTAGTAGTTTTAAAGTACTGACCAATAAGGAATTTTTGCGAATTTTAAATAATTATTTCCTGAATTTGTGGGTAGTTGGAGAAGTTGGATGAAATATTACAATATGGTTATTGAATTGATTTTTTAATAGAAAAGTATCATTTTATCGTTTATTAGTTTCGTGAATCTTATAGTAAAATGAAGTGAAGTGATAAGTTTACTCGCTGCCTCCCAAAAATGAATTTAACGTTTTTGTTACTATTAGAATACTAGAAATAGACTGCAACGAACTTTCGTCAAAGTTTATTTTTAATTTTCTTCAAGAATTCGCTGCATTCTAAAAAAATACTCATCACATCCGTGCAAGCAGAAGCTTCATTAAAGTGGGGAACAATCTGACATTGCAATTATTAACGTTGTTGTTTCAGTAGCAAGGAGGACAAAATATTAAATTCTTTAAAGGTGAGAGGTCGTAGTAAATACCTTATTATATTTTTTATGCATCACCCATACTTTCATACTTATATTATAAAATGTTAAAGTGAGTTTTTTTGTTTGTTACTCTTTCACATCTAAACCACTAAACCGATTTTAAAAATTCTTTCACCGATAGAAAGCGAGTAACATAGGATCCTTTTTACAGTAGTGTTTATAGTAATGTTATAATCATCGTAGTACCAAAATTGTAATCATTTCTGTACCTGAGTCGTGTACAAATGTATCTGTGGCCGTAATATTAGTGATACTGATTATTATTCTCTGTTGTTTATTAATTTTAACTTTATTTTGTTGTATAATAGTAAGGATTTGTAATTAGAAATCTGTTTTCTTGTCTTCTTATATTCTGTTTCTCTTGGTTGTGTTTTTCATATCTCAATAAATAAATGTACTCAGAATTATACCAGTATGTTTATTAGCAGTCTGGTTTGAAATATAATTGTCTTATTTATAAATATATTATCATGTGCCCGGTCGAGCGCGGTAGGTTTGTTCTCCTATTACTTAATTGGGATTAATATGTATTGACGGCAAATTACAGGCTATCTCTACCCCTTAGGGGATGAAAGACGTGGGTGCATGTTATGTACAGATAGTCGTTTATTTACGGATGAGTAAAGAATGCAGGATTAAGAGTTGAATACTAAGGAATAGAATTAAGAATGTAACGAAAAAATAATTAACTATTATTTCAAGATGTAAAACATAAAAAAGAGAAGCTGAAAATTACATCAACTAACTTGTCGATGCAATCGAAAGAATTAAATATACGATGTCCTGAATCAAATGGTAACTAAACATGGTAACAAAATTTATAAACACGAAAAATATTTTAACGTAAAAATACCGCGAAATTTCCAATGTTACTCGCTCACAGTCAAAGCGGTGTAGTTTTTGAAGTACGTAATAAACTTTCAATTCGAACTAATTAATTAAAACTAGGTTAGTGACGGGGAGTTACCTTATGGTAGAAACCTGGTTGAGATGTAGGGCTACGACTTTCATTATGGGGATAATGTTATAATAAAAATGTATTTTTTATAAAATTGGCAAAAGAATAATGGTATTCAACAGTAAGGTAGGAAGCACTCCACTACCACGGGGTGCCAGAGTACCTGAGGCGGATAGTGGCAGACTATTTAGAGGAGCGTACCGTCATATATAAGGACCGAAATGGTGCGTTGTGTTCTCGGCCCGTGTCGTGCGTGATCCGCAGGAGTCTGTTCTCGGACCACTCCTGTGGAACATAGGGTACGACTGGGCCCTTTGATGTCCCTTTCCTCCGTAATCTGTTACGCTGACAACACTCTAGTCACAGCCCTGGAGGCGAAGTTCCAAAAGGTGGCGCGCCTGGCCACCACCGAAGTAAATTGGCGGACGGCTGAGTTCCGGGTGGATAGTAGCAGTCGGCCGCCACCCGAAGACATACGCGAGAACAGGACTGGTTTTCCCTCCACCCGCCATAATGGCCAGCCGCGAGGAGGCTACATCCGCGTGTGCCGGACATGTCCTAAATAGAAAATGTACCCGAAGGTGGCGGCGTCTTAATAACCTCCTATCACAAGTGGCACACCGTGTGGTTTTAGTCAGTCCGATACCGACACACCACCCCGCCGCAAACCGGTGGGTAGACACAGTACTCTTAGAATTTTGTATTTTGTACTCTTAGAAGCCTGTGTACACAGGCTTCTAAGAGTACAAAATTGCTCCTAAAAGAATGACTGATCTGTTGATAAGTACTTGCCACCATTTTATACAAAGACAATTTTTTTTTGTGTGAAGTCGTCTTTTTGATAGAAGCCTAGAGTCAACGTGTCAAGTGTAAAGTCACAAACGCAATAGCAACAATCGGTTTTGTCAAATATTTGGCAAAATAAGTCCAATTCATTATCTGCCTATTCTGATCTACATACGCCCGCTTCCGCAGTTTGTGTGTTCCACCACTCCCTACAGAATACAGAATATCATCATCAAATAATCAAATTTTAAACTTTAAAATCAGAACATATATCCTCAGGAACGTTGCTTATAACGTTAAAAGGCAGCCCTATTTGTTTGTATTTGAATTTAATTTTTGCAACATGCCAAGCTTACCATAAATTTAACTTTATAACTTCACATTATGTTTGTTTTTTAAACGCCTGTTTTATTTTAAAAAT